AATTGAATTTCTTGTTAATATTTCTGAGAGCCATGTTGCTAAGATCTTTGTTACACATTTACAAAATGTTTCTAGTAACGCAATTGGTCTAAGAGTGTTTAAGGTAAAGTCCCACTCCGTTGACTTTGGGATTGGGTAAATTTGGCTATGCTTTCATTTACTTGGTATTTTTTCAGTTTTAAGACAGATTGAGCCGAATTTTCTAAAAAGATCTTGTGTAAAACCATTTGCTTGTTTGATAAGCACATATCTGATCCCTGTTATACCTGGTGTAGTATTGTTTTTAAGCTCTTTAAGCATCTTGTACCATTCTTCTTCTGAGATATCTTCTTCTAAATTCATATATCAGAAAGCATTAATTTCTGTTTGTGGTTTGTAGATTTCCTTCCACTCAGGAGTTAGAGAAGTCATGTTTGGTTTGCTTTTGTTGTACTGGTTTTGAAAAAAAGCATAAGTTTTTGATAAGATATCTTTAGAGTTCGTGTGTAATTGGAACTTATTTTCAACCTCCTCTGAAATTCTATCTATTTAGCCTTCGAGAAGGGCTTGTCCAGTATACTTTTAAGCATTTTACCCTGCTCATCTTGGATCATAAGACAGCACCGATCTGTAAATTCCTTGATTCTTTTGTTTTTTTGTTTTTCTATTTCTGTTGTCTATTTTTTGTTGAAGATATATAGCCAACTCTTGATATCCTGCATCCATTCTTCTAATATCCAGTTTCATCAAGAGCTATATTAAAACCATGTCTAGTGCTAATTTTGTAATATAATATATATATAATTTTTTTTTTTTTTTGATATTAAGGTGATCTCTTTGGCCAAGAGAGACTTTTTATTAGAATTCAATGATACTGGTTACAACGAAGATACAACTAGCTACATGTGCACCTTTTGAGTGCCTATTTAAGTAGTCCGCCAAAGGTTCTACACTAGCTGCCATACCTATAACCCAACTAGGAGATTACTCATTTAAACCTTCTGATCTTCACTATATATACTATTTTATTTTAACCACGGGACTACCACAATTACAGCTTATTCTCGGAAGATTTCGCATCTCACTTTAGAACTTCTGTGGATTTATCCTGGGTTTGCACCAACTAATTACTAGCTTGCATTCCTCCATTGAGCAGATACCACAGCTATTCTCGAGATAAACCTACTAGAGCTTTCCATACCCTATTCTGGCCAGCCTAGTCATCGCAGTTCCCGAAGGTTCTACTTGTGGTATAGCTTAGTGATCGCTATGCCCTTATAAGGTTCACTGTCCACCCCGATACCCACATTCAGACTTTCTTTTTTCTGTTATTCCCTAACCGGTCTATCCCTTATTTCTAACCAGCAACCTGGAAGATTCGACTTTGACCTGGCTTTAAGTGCCTTTGGCTCGTCTTATCTTGGTTCGTATTTCTATAGCATACGTCCTTTTCCTCTAACTCGGGAGTTTCTGGTTCTCTGGTGTACCCAGCCTATTTTGTCAACCTGTATCTTATGACCCATATCTTCCAATCCTTGGTCTGCTAGGGTAGGGCCTCTGCTACCAGTTTCCCAAGCCGGCAACCTGGTTGGTATGCACTGTGTATGTCTGTCAATTTCTGGTTTTCCCGAATTGGCAGTTCAGTTGATGGATTCCTTCACTTAAAGATCTTTTGTCATTCGGTTCATCAGTTTCGGTCCTAACTTCCAAATTTGGTCTTTTTTGTAGCACCATCAAAAGTTTCGGCTATCTCCTTACTCAGGGCTTTCAAACGAGTATTGATCATCCTGATTATCTAGATTTCAGCGCCAAAGCTCTCATTCTAGATGGTGTACCAAATAATCAATCAGCAGATAATCATACCAAACACAGGTTCATTTTTCAATTTTGTTGTCCCTGGGATTTGAACTCTAAACCTGCCACTTGAGAGTGACAACTTAACTACTTCACTAAGTCGCCACACCCTTATATATATATAATATATATATAATATATATAATAATATATATATAATTTTTAAAGTTGAATAACTTTTGATCTACTAGTCCGTTTTGGATTATTTAACTACCAAAATGTTTGTCTCAGTGAGATGAATTTAACAAGCCTAAAATTATCAAAATCCAATTTCAGGATCCTGAGATCGCTAAAGCTTTTATAATTTTAAAATTATAAAAAACTTTAGCGATCTCAGGATTCTGTAATTGGATTTTGATAATTTTAGGCTTGTTAGATTTGTCTCACTAAGACGAATATTTTGGTAGTTAAATTATCCAAAACGGAATAGTAGATCAAAAGTTATTCAACTTTAAAAATTATATATATATTATTATATATATTATATATATTATGCATATATTCTTGAATCTGATTGGTCAATTAGCCATTTTGTATAACGTAATCAAGATCCTGACCATGTATCCATGGTATAAATTACATAATAAATAGCACACCTATTAGACATTGGATAAAAACCAAGAATAATGGTCTTGTTGCAACAATAGCAAAAGTGATTAAAACTAAACAGCTAGTGCTCAAACTAGTAAAGGTTAAGAGCTACTCAGAGGACTTTTATAATGATTTAGCAGATATTAAAGCCAAAGAAAGTGCAAACAGTGCAAAGCTTCTAATTTTCAACACACTGAGTACAAGAGAGTTCAAGCTAAAATATATATAGAAAGGAGAATTAATAAAGAAACCAACATACTCTTTTGTTAAAATACTAGAAAAAGTGATTAATAAAGTGAAATAGATATATATACATGATTGTCAAAATATCTCACATCAAGAAAGAAAAGATTCACAACACTGGCTTGTATTTTACAAAATCTTGGAGAGTGATAAAAAACAGCAAGACTATACTTTTAAATCAAATATATAGCAGCTCTTTGAAATAAAATATATAAATAATGCACTATCAGTACTGGCAAAGCTCAATTAAAGAAGACCAGATCTATACAAAGCCCCAACATGTATAATATACAAAAAGAAAGATGAAAATATAGAATATTTGGTTAGCTGTAAGTTCTCAACAAACCTTTTAAGAGATATAGAGGAATAAGAAGTAGAAAGAGCTCTTGACAAAATAGTACAAGAAAATATAGAAGAAAAGAAAGAGCCAATATTCATTTTGTTAGAAAAAGGTAGCACACTCAAAGAGCTACAAAGAAGAGCTAGCTGGATCAGAAACCTAATTACAAAAGAAGACTTCGATGAGTTGTAGCAAAATTTTAACTCAAACAAACAGACTCTCAGGTTTATAGAAGAACTCTGAAAGAACTAGATGAAACAAGTCTATGAAAAGATATGAATTGCATGGTGCAAACTAGTTCAAAAATAGAAAAGAAAAATTGGAATAACGAGAAGAGTTAAAAGAAGATCCAACCCACAAACCAAGGATAAAATAAACAAAAAAAGAAGAAGGAAAAAAAAAAAAACTAAAGATGAGGAAGGGGAAACAAGAAAATCTAAAAAAGAAAACAAAGCATGTTGATTAGATATGCTAGATCTAGCCAAGAAAGCAGTTTTAGATTGGATTAAAAAAGGACAATGGACATCATGATGAAAAGCTAATTAGTAGTCTTAACAGGCCATAGGAACTATCCAATAAAGTATCAACAAGCTTATATCAAAGCAAGTTGGTATGGAGGTAAACTTCTACTATAGCAGGTTGTGCATAGGTGTTCTAGAACAACCGAATAAGCCAACACTTGTAACTTAGATATCAAAGAGAATAACCTTTTGTAAAAGTTGTAAAATTTTATATATAATGTAAAAATTATGATAGCCTAATCAAGACTGCCAAATTGGAAAAAAAAAAAAATAATTACTAGTAAATTTTACCACTTATAAATACTAATAAAAATTTTATAATTACACAACTAGTGATGTTATTTTGATTTTAATTCTTTTAAAATATATAAAAAATTAAATTAATTGATAATAATTAGAGCTGACAAATATTAGCTTATTATATCCTTCTAGGATTTTTATTTAATCTTCTTATTTAATATTAGTAAAATTTACAAAAATTGCAATTAACAGTTGACCTAATTATATAATTTTTGTAAGTTTTACTAATATCAAATAACTGACTCTGAAAAGAGTTAAATAAAAATCCTTGGGAATATAATAAGCTAATATTTGTTAGCTCCCTTACTAAACTTAAATTTGTTTATCATACTTTATTAATTAATTTAAAGCTTGTAATTGTTTTATAGTATAAATAGTATAAATAACTTGGAAGCTCTAAAATTTTAAATAATTTCTGAAAAGGAAGTATAATTAGCTAGTAAGTTAGTTTCCTTAGAAAAAAAAAAAAAACCATAAAATTTTTTTAATTTACAATTAAACAACCAAGTCTAAATAAAATCTTGTTCTAAATCTTGTTCTATTTCTGTAGAAATTTTATGTTTATATGTAATTTAGCATTACAAGCATGTTTACTTAATAAATTTTATTTAGTAAAATTGTAAAATAAATCGGGTTTATATTATCTTTTATTGTACGTTAATATTTACACTTTTAAAACAATTATGTACTGGTAAAGATTAATTACATCTTTACGTTTCAATCTACATTTTTAAATTTTCAAATTTTCGTGACCAGCACTAAAATCAAAAAATTATTAACGATTACCGCTTTTTTTTTTTTTTTTTTAAAAAAAAAAAAAAAGTATATAATGTAAACCTTGAATCCATTACATGAGCCAAAGTCAATATTAAAAACATAAATCTTACTATTTAAATCAGTTATCACTCCTTATTACAAAACAATAAATACTTAACATTCATGCATCAAAATATATTTGATTCAAAGTGTTCACAGTAATAACTACAAAATTTAGGTGAATAATCATGATCTTCGGAATAGATCGTTAAAGGAAAAACAAAAAACAACTGACCGTACGTCCCTAAGAAACAAGTACCTAGATATCGTTACATTCGTTACAAGAAAGCTAAACTGAACCCAGATTCACTACTGAAACACTAATCAAATTATTAATCGTTAATCGTCCATGATTTTCACGCAGTTGCTACTTCAGTCTCGTGACACAATTCACGACTTTTTGGGTTTTGTTTATGACGCTTTAGAGCATCCAATCTATCGGTAAATACAACTTAATAAAATTTATGCTAATTAAATAATAAACTATAATGAACCGAAAGTCGTAACAAACCTCGAAAATAACTTTTTACAACCAAGACACTTATAAGGTTTGATATTCTCGTGAATTTTTTGATGTCGCTTAAGATCATGATTTCTTGCAAATGCAGTTTCACAAGATGAACATTTAAACGGTCGATCAGTCGAATGTGTTCGCTGATGTGACTTTAAATTGTATAGTCGAGCAAACGACTTATTACAATGTGGGTATAAACATGCATATCCAAGTTGAGAAGTTTTACCATCCGTACTTGAACTTGGAGAATTTCGACATAAACTTTTATCCGAAACTGATGTTCTTCGTCGTTTAATTTGATGAATGTTAGTTTCATTTGAATCCTCTACTTTTGTTGAGCATGTCGAAATATTTGTAGTTTCATCGGAAATAAAAAAAGTTTCAGATCCAGCTGTGTAAGATACTTCGGGGTAATCGTTAGATGTTGAATGATAAAAGAATTCGGGATTTTCATCCATTGCAGTAATAAGAAGATCAGCAGATATTTCTGCCTCATTCAAAGCTTCTATTTTTTCTACATTAGTATCCTTTGTAATGAAACTTTCAATATTATCGTCTCTAGAATGCTTATTGGTTAACAATTTTGGGGAGGGTGATGTATTTTCTTCAGGACCTTCTTTGTTGTTTGGAAGAGCAATAGGAAGTAAAGCAGTGTTAACGACACCACTCCAATCAATGGAAATACCTTCATGTGTTCCAGTTGTTGATGCTGTATCCGTATCAAGTTGAGCAATTGTCCCCCAGTCTGGATCAAAATATGTATTATTTAGACCAGCATCATCTCTTATTTCTCTCAATGTAATAATGTCCCAACGTTCTTTACATTGATCTTCAGTGCGACCAGGTATTGTTGCAGCAATCTCTCTCCAATTCCCATATCCAAGGTTGTTAACACCACTTTTTAACAACTCATCTTCTTCAGAATTCCATTCATGCAAATCATATGGAGTTTTATTATTATCTAAGGTAATGATCGATGAATTTTCGACAAGATTGTCAACAATACGTGTACGTGATGGTGAAGATGTATCCGATGAATCCGGGCTAGAATCACCAGGGACATTAGCAAATCTTAAAACTTGAAGTACTTGTGCAGCAGCAGTCTGTTCTTCCAAATCATCCAAGGGTTCGATATTGCTTTCCGTAATATTTATATCATCATCCCTTTTATCATCGATATATTGAGTTGTGATCATAGAATCAGAAGAATCATTATAGCCTATGGAATCATTTACTCGTTGGGTCATTGACCTAGTTACTCGCCGTTTGGAAAATTTTTCTTTGAGTTCTGTTTTGCTTCCGTTGATTTGTTTTATCGAAGAGTTAACGATTCCTTGCCCTGTCGGCATAGTGGCAAAATCTTGGAAAAGATTTGTTTCAATCCACGCGTTTATTGATTGACTTGGTGGCACCATGCCTCTATCGAGGCTTTGTGATATTGAAGACAGTTTTACTACTAAGGTATGAAGGCACTTAGTATATTAAAATCAGCCTTCTTTTATTAAAATTTCACGAGTTTAATAATGGTACAATTCCTTATATTTTCAAAGATATTAAAAAAGGCAAATTGACATGGAAATGAAAATGTTTAAATTGCTCAGATTTAGTGCTTATTTTGGTTTGTTTAATAAATACATAACGATAACGGAAGAGGATTGTAAACGGTTTTATTTAAACAAACAGGCTTTGCTATAGTATATAAAAAATCTGTGGCTTAGATTTAGATCAGACTTTCGATTATTAGCTTAGATTTACTAACTTATAAGTTAGATGAATTATATATAATGAATCAGTGTGTTACATCTACATCGCAGATTTTATACAAATTCTGGCCACCTGCGCCACAATGACTTTTCATGGTTATGTAATATTTATTTGTCTGGTTATTATGATCGCATCAATTGAAGACCAAAAAGGCAATTTTAGTAATTAAAGGAAAAAAACAAAATGGAGGACGTGACGGTAAGCTTTCTACCGCTGTAACTGCGCCGCAATAAAAAGATTGATCAAACTATCGATTCTAACTCACCATATTACTTACCAACTAAAAATTTTATAAAATACAGACAAGGAATATTTACTATATTCATTTGAATATGATATATGGTGTAATTGATCTAATAAATCTTGAATATATACTCGGTTTCAGCGCAAACTTTAGAATGTTGGACTTTTGTCAAAATGAGCTATTGATCCCACTAATGTATCGAACGCAATGAAATGTGAAAACATATTCCACTATCTGTAAGGACAAAATTACGACAAATCCCTCTCAATTAGTCAAACTAACCGAGCACATATTCAAGAATTGGGTAGACATCTTTAGTACATTAGATAAGGATACACAACGAGACAGAACGAGCCTCAGTTTAACAAAACCATAGTGATTAAAAACTATAAATTCTACTAGTCAGGCTTACCCATGTTCTGCACCAAAAGCCGAATGAAAAGTTTCACATCCTGACCGAGTAACCGACCATCCAATGACTTCTGATAATCGTATATCTAAAGAAGAGCATGTAAACCACCAAGATCAATCAACATTAATATGCTTGTTAAAGTAGTAGTAATAAATGATTAAATTACAAGTAGAATTCAAAAGCAAATTCAGCATCCATGCCTTTCAGGCCCAATCAACTATTCTATCAATTTGAAGTAAGAGGTAATAGAGCAGGTAAAAATAAGAAAAAGCCCAAATATAAATACATGTCATGAAAGAATTCGAATGAAATACAATATATCAGGACATTTGAATGATTTTTGGTACAATTTGACATAATAACAATAATTGTTCTCAATACAATCCGGGCAAATCTATATATACAATGCTGAAAGACTCTTTCCAAGTATCTGTACTTGACGTACTGTCAGCGAATCTGTCTACCCTCTTCATCAAATGTCATGTAAAAAAACGGATGTCTTAAAGCATCACGTGCAGAGATCCGTTCTTCTGGGTCGTAAAGCAACAGACGTTGTAAAAGGTCATAAAACTGCTCTCTAAAAGTGGATCTTCTAGGCTCGATAACTTCCTAACAAAAATATCAACTTTAACTACACTATATTATGTATTTAATCATCATAGCTTAAAATGATTAATATACTTACTTCTAAGGTATGCAACGACTTAACATATTTACGGCTTTGTTTGGTTGTATCATCATTGGGATAATTAAGTAACCGACTGCCTCTAAAATATTTAAGCTGATTCGGCCGGCTTAAAAAAAAATAATAATTAAATTAATAAAAACTTTATTAACCTTGAAGAAATTTACCGTGAAACAACGAAATAACAACATTGGCGTTATTCCGAAAATAACGCCCACGTAGTCTCGAAACAATGTGCACTCATAATATATCAGCGCATTTACAATATGGTATAACCAAGTTCAGAAAATTGGCTTTTTATCCCATATAACGTCACATGAACGTGTTCGAAATAATGTGCAGGTGTTCAAAATAACTCATGGTGTGCGGTTTTACGGTAAATGACGGGGAATGATATTAACTTATAACATACCACATTTGCCGAACGATCCTTTCAGGAATTTTACCAAGTACATGTTCCATCATTGCCAGATGCTCTAAATTTTCATGAGTTTGAAATAAGGCTTCACCTGTGAACAATTCTACAAGAATGCATCCAATAGACCAAAGATCGCAAGCATATGACCAGCCCAATCCTAAAGTAATAATTATTTTGTTAACAATCGCATATTAACTCTTGCCATTAAGCCTAACAAATAAATATAATCTTTATTTACCTAGTATAACCTCAGGCGCCCTATAATGCCTGGTAGACACTACCGAAGAGTGATATTCATCATCAAATGTAGCGCTACCAAAGTCAATCAATCGTATATCTGTATCCAACAGTATGCGTCGAGACTTCCCCGGCGATCTCTAATGTTAAAAAGGTATTTAGTTTAATATAATGAAGATAAAAACTATGATGCTTATTCTCACCCTTGATGGAACTGTTCTACATTGATCATTGACCAATAAAATATTTTCTGGTTTTAAATCGGTATGTACCAGTCGTAAAGAATGTAAGACTAATTTTAATAATAAAAAATTTATGTAGTAGATATAATATTAAATGTTTGAACAATTAATAATCACGAAATAGCTTTTAAGTCATACAGGCAACGGAATGAAGCAATTGTCTCGAAACATGTTGAATTTGATTCATCGGCAAAGGATTAAAATCATTGTGTTTCAGGAAGTCGAATAGAGACGATCCATATAAATCGAAAACCATGCATATATGATTACGATAATCGAACCATTCTCTAAGATGAATACATTTACTATTTTAAAAACAAATAATAGCGATAAGTTTTAAAATTATTTCTATTACTCATCAGAAAAAAATTAAAACTTTTAAGACTTACTGCACATTTGCAGGATCTCGATCTCTCAAAGTGTTAAGCACACGAATTTCAATCTTACTCGCATCACGATACTTTTGTACGGCGCGAATGATTTTAATTGCAACATGACGGTTGCTAACACGATCCCAACATTGAACTACTTTTCCAAAAGTTCCTTGTCCCAACAAGTGAGTTATTTGATCTTTATAATCATTTTAAATGAATAAATGCTTTACTTAATTATTGTCATTGTTATGTTGATAGGAATGCTTACATTTATTCCCTAATTCATCACCGATTTTGACAATGTAATGACCGTCCTTATCATCATAGCTTGGTATTGCTTGACGTGATGAAGCTGCAGATGAACGGGACTGAATCGAAAATATAAATTATGATATATATTTGCACATATATCTTCAACAAATAAAAGACAAAAAAGAACATAGATCTATAAATGATTTTTTGGCACTAAAAATTTATTTTCTTCTTTACCTCTCTGGTAGAAATTGGCTCTCGATAACGTCCCGAGGCATGTGAACTTGTTGAAATATATGAGCGATAGGCTGTATCGTTGTAATGAGAATGGTCTCGATATTCTCCCCTTCGCCGCCGTTTATGTGCTGACGCAGATGTTTGCTGATGTAACACCTGCGCTGATTTATTATTACTCAACAAAGGTGTCCTCCTATTTCTTTTCATTCCTCTTGCTTCCATTTGTGCTGGTCGCTGTCGAGTACTTGAAAGTGGAGGCGTCGGAGAATCAGAGATTACTATTACTTCCTTCTCATCTGGACGACCATTGCGGTAAAAATCTTCACGCCAATTTGGGTTATGTGGACGCTTTTGTCGAGATGTTTTTATGGGTCTTGTGCTTGACATTGTTACTGTTGACATGCTAAAAGTAGCATAGGAAGGCTTTGTATGTTACTGGGTAAAACGTATATGTATGACTAGAATTCCTGGTACTTGAAAGAGAACTCGTGCTTTCAGTATGTGAAAGTTTATATCTTACGGCTTTATATAGTTATAATACATGGTTATGTGATTATTTAGAGTTTGTGATATAATAATGTTACAAGAAATGTATATACGTACTATGATACGCTTCTATGGCGACACTATTTGTCATCACTTTCTTGTTTTGTTTCA